GAATGTCTTAGATCAGAGATTTCTGTTTGGTATTCCCCATAGATATGTTTGTTACCTTCTTAGTGTTTAATACTCACTGCAGGCCAGTTCTTAAAACACAATTTTGTCCGTTTCATGACCTGCAATAACATTATTGGCCAGTGTCATTGAGCATTGATTCAACCCATGGGCAACTATTGCTCAGCACTGCTGATCTTTAGTCATATTCTTTCTCTTTTTCTGCTGTCACAATATAATATGTGTTGTCTTCTGTGATTGTTTGCCTAACTAATACACCACGCAAAACGTTATGGATTAATTTTCAGGAGTTTGGTTCAGTCGCTGCAGAGTTTTTGCTCTGTGCAGAACTCTTGCGGGTGACCAGCCATCCTGTGGAAAGACACTTAAGTCATAAGGAATACAATCCGGCCTAATAAAGTGGATCTCAACATCTTTAAACTTAAGCAGTGGAGGATGGCCCCAAATTTTTTTATGAAATTTACATTGGTTTAAATTACAGTTGTGACATTTAACATTGACAATCATTTTGGCTGTTTTAAATGTTTTTTTTAAATAACAAGAATAAGGGCTCTGAATGCTAGAGACGAAATCTTACTTTTTGCTACATAGTTAATGGTTATATGTTTAAACAAGTTTTAGATTCATCATAAAGTGCAATACATTTTAGATTCATTAGTGCCGTTTGAATTGTAAGATTCAGCATTTTTTGGCCAGCAGAGTTAACATTAATATCTTGATGTTAATTTTGCCAAGATTGAGATGGTTTAGCTGACCTGGGAGGTGAAAACAATGTAACAAATGTTAGCATTGAAAAGTATCAAAACGACAGACCATGGCTAGCCTGGCCACAAAACTGTTACTAATAAACCTGTTGCACCAAACAAAGGTGTCACTTTAACATGCTATATTCATTTTACATTCTTGCATTGATGAGCTTTTCATGAAATTGTGAAAATGATTTTCATATGCATTGAAGACAGTCCTAATAATTGTTTACGTTTTGTAAAAGTTAAAAATACTTTGTTTTGTTCGATAATAAATCAATTGCATAAAGTAATGATTAAGACTACAAATAAAAAGTATTATGCATGAAAAGTACACTCTCGCTTATTTGTATTTGGTCAGTAGAATGAACAAAACTGAGCACTGGGTAAACTCATTCTCTATAAGAATAAATTTATGGCTTCCTGGAAGTCTATTTAGAACTGGCTTTTGGAAAACACAAAGGTGCTTCAGGTTGTACACATCTGTACCAGAGTTTAATCAGACCTGGCGATGGAAATTGTAGCGTTGAAGGGAGCAGCCAAGCAAACTATTAATGCTTACATGAAAATGTGTAGCATATTACATCCCCTTTGGTAATATTTTCTGTGACTACCTCTTGTAGAATTTTGATTTTACTTACTAGTAAGACATGTATTATTTCATTAAGTTAGAACTGCAACTATGATGACCAATTGGTTAACCTATTTAGCTTCAACTTTGACAAGGTGTTGCAGGCCTACATTACATTTTTGTTGTTGTTGTTGTTTTTAATTTGAATTTTATGGACAAGTTCTGACTGCTGTCTGCTTATTATGTTGTCTTCTAACCCCCCCCCCCCCCCCCCCCCCCCCCCCCCCCCCCCCCCCCCCCCCCCCCCACCCCACCCACCCCCCCCCCCCCCCATGGGAGCACACACCCTGAATCAACAAACCTCAGCCCCTGTTATTATTTGCCATGTCCTGACTTCTTTCTGTGTCCTACCTATATTGTTAGTCCCTACGTCTAATTCTGTATTGTTTGGTCCCCTGTGTTTCTTGTGTTCAACTGGTTTAATATTGCTAATCCAAGCATTTTAAGCTTTCAGTTTTGGCAGCTGTTCTTCTGCCCTATGTTGTCTGGGCAGTTTACATCTGGTCTTGTTTAGTTTAAACCACTATCAGTTTCTTTGCTTTGTGGAATCCAAGTCAAGCTCAGCTTTATTCTTTATCAAGTGACTGTTCTAGCCTGCATATAGAGCAGCTGACCTGTGTTGCCTCTAAAAGGATTGTTATTTTAGTGGTTTCATTGACACGATACTTGTGTCAGATTTTGTTTTGCTTCTAGCATCCTTCATTAATGCTGGTGACACAGCAAGTTATGAACATATTCTGATGATTGTTATCTAAGTTGTTAGATGTTGCAAACTACAGTTTACTTTAAGCACAGTCATTCAGGTGTCAGGAAGAACATTCATTCATTCACTCTCATTCACCTTCAGCTTTAGATGCACATTATGTAGGATCTAATAATAACAGGTTTGACAAACTCAGAAGGACCCTTGTGAATGAGTTGAATATTCTTCACCAAAAAAGTACATGCTTAAAAATAAAAATACAGAAAAGGCTATTACTAAAACAAAAACTTCTGTTACTGCCTCTGTTTACCATTTGTGTGGTGTAGTGGGAGGAAGGCTCTTTGAATCTGAGGATTTCGGGCCACTTGGATAATTTAGTCGCCTCGGTCTGTGCAGGCTAGCATTGTTTTTTTGTCTGTCAGAAACAATTCATAATCTTAGTGAGGATTTAAAAACCTGGGTCCTCCATATGACAGCCCCATATTCTAAACTATTCAGCCGGGGTCCCCCATATGACAGACCCATATTCTTAACTATTCAACCTGGGTCCCCCATATGACAGCCCCATATTCTTGACTATTCATCCTGGGTCCCCCATATGACAGCCCCAAATTCTTAACTATTTAACCTAGGTCCCCCATATGACAGCCCCATATTCTTAACTATTCAACCTGGGTCCCCCATATGACAGCCCCATATTCTTAACTATTTAACCTAGGTCCCCCATATGACAGCCCCATATTCTTAACTATTCAACCTGTGTCCCCCATATGACAGCCTCATATTCTTAACTATTCAACCTGGGTCCCCCATATGACAGCCTCATATTCTTAACTATTCAACCTGGGTCCCCCATACGACAGCCTCATATTCTTAACTAATCAACAAACTGTTCCTAAAAAGCACACACACACACACAAGAGGAAAAAGCTACTTACTGCATAGTCTATATTCAGAATGAGAAAATCCCTACCTACAAATTATATCATTCGTGCGATTCTGGAAATATATACTTAGATATTTGTCCCTGCGATGTAGTTCTCTTTGCCTGGTCTATGGAAAATGACTGGAAGAAATGTCTGTATGCAGTTAAAAGAATACTTTAACTGTGCCAGTTAATAACATATACCCCTGCGTGATTTGTCAAATGGAAGAGTGAAGAGAACTTGTCCTGTTCAGGGTAAATGGATGAAGTTCTCATGAACCCTGATTAGGACAGTTTATCTACGTTATAATGTAATTTGTTGATTACTCAATTGAATTGTAGATATTAAACATATATTTTGAATACTTTTTACCCCTGTAAACAATTTCTTAACTAAAAAATCATATCATAATTTAGTTATGAGAAAATGTTCTCTTTATTTATTGCATAGATAAAAAAAATTAAAAAAAAAAAAAAAAGTTAATTTCAGAGCAGGACAGGGATCTGCAATTACACTTTCAACACTTGCTGTTCTAAACAGTTCTTATTTTAACTCTGTACAAGCAAATATCACTTTAAAGCAATAAATGTTTGGACCTGGAATTCACTCTAGGGAAAGAAGAAATTAAAGTAATGTTTTTGAAAATGGCTTAAAGAATCAGCATTTGTCTTCATTTTCTATATTGAGGCCTATTTGGTTTATTCTCAAATTATAAAATAAATCGTTTGGCACTCAATTGTGATGTGACCAGAATCACTGTGGTCACACTCAAGTTTCAGGACATTTCTAGGTGCACAGTCATTGACTTGGTTTACTTAGTCGGGATTAGTTAAACAGTAATTCCGGAGTCTAGGGTGGGGTGTTCAAACATAACTAGAAGACCGGCAAGCAAGCAATCTTATCACCATAATTCTATTACCCTGGGGTTAGAACTGGTAGTTTCATATCTTTTGCTGGACGTTTTAGAGCTACCACAGGTTTTGTTAACCATTTGGTTTTACGGTCACTAGTTTGCCATTGCCTCTGAACACCCTGCTGTCAATTCCATTATGAAAATCAATGCAAGGTGATCTGCTTCCTTATCACCTGCAGCTGGAATGGAATCAGGTCCCTTGGAATTAGGAAGCATGTTTCCAACGCCTAAGCCACAGATGCATGTCTGGGGTAGGAGTAGATAATGTAACATCAGGTACAGAGTTAGTGGAGGTAACAATTGACATCACATCAGTCGGGGCATTCTCATAAGCGCTCTGTCCCCATCCCCAGCAGCCAGCGCAGAGTTCCAATTCTAATGGTGCCGGACGTAGTCTGGTTGTATGTGACCAGTAAACGTATGACTGGTTGCTAGGTACAGAATGAGTGAAGACAGCTGATGTAGTATGAGCAGTCACTGTTTGATAGTAATGGAATCTGCTATGAAACAACACTTCTATGACCATGCTCTGGTTAAGCAGTTAATATATCAGTCAGTCCAGTGCCATCTCCATAATGAGGGTTGGCTGCAATGGATCTGGTTCTAGGTGTACTGTCTCTCAGACTGCTGTTTGCCCATATCTTGATTTTATCCTCCCCACTTAAATCCCTGTAAACAGTTAACATTGTCACACACAAAATTCACACTGCAGTTTCAAAATGTATTGTAAACTTCAAAACACAGGCCATGAGGTTACAACCATCCTAATATTTAAGTTAAGTCAAGTATTGACATCACAGCACTTGAGGCATTTCCATATATGCTTGGTCCCCATCTTCAGCAGCCAGTGCAGAAATAAGATATCATGTAGTTAACATTCTGAGACATAAAGTCACCTATGTTCTATTTATATAACAGAAGCTTAATAAAAGATGCTAACATTTCAGGATGTGTCTATTGTTAGCTCTCAGTGTTGCATTTACTAAAAGAAGGATTATTGCTACCTGTTTTATTCAGTTCATTATAATGAAGTAATTTTTTTCCTCATTTTTGTTTCTTGCAGTCTTGAGTGGATTTCCTCATGCTTTCCAAGGACATCGACCACCCCTGCCATCTATGCCTGCTGCAATCCAGACAGTACCAGTTCCGATGTCCAGGGAGGAGTTTTACGAGGCCAAGAAGAAAAAGCCTGTGGATGTGTTTGAATCCTTTGCTGATCTCACCAAACGAAGAAGTCGTACTCCTGAAAGACGGAGGAGGTAAGTGTTTTTTTTTCTTCAGAAGACTTCAGGTTGTTATAAATGTAGAATGTTTGTTATTTTTAATTCACATAGTCATTGAACATAGAATCTGGCTTTAATGTGAATAATTACACAGTATGATTATGACGATTTTTTAAAAGGAACCCTTAAAATATTCTAAACAATCTATATTCCTACAAACTGAGAATTACTACACAATCTGTCCAAAAAAAAAAAAAAATTAACATAATTGGCAAGCATAAATATCCACCGTTGAAATAGAAAACTATATGGCCCGGTTATAACCCAGATGGATTGAACAGAGTATCCATTGAATTACTACCACTAATCTAGCTTTAATGATTAGTGCACACACAGACAGTGACAAATAATTCTCAACATAAAAAACAATTTCAATATTTTGTCCCTCTATGTTTCTTCCTTCTTACACTGATCATTTCTTTTGTTGCAATTAATATATATGAAGCAAAGTAGAAAGATATTCTTTACAAGAATGTTAAAATAAAAAAAAAAGACTTTATTAATATCCTACCCCAAATATGGGAAATTCGCAGGTTACAGGACAGTCTTATATTTCAGGGGGTGGTAGATAGGTTGCATGCAGTGGGGGGACCTAGGCGGCATGCATTCATGAGACCTAGGCTGCACTGTCTCGTGGGACGTAGCTGGGTTGGGGTTAGGGCTAGTTCTGGATGTTTTGGGGTCGTTAAAAGCATCAGAAAGCCAGTAAACCTAGTCTTACCACCCTCTAAAATGTTGGACTGTCCTGTGACGTCATCTGGGGTGCGATATTAATAAAGAACCAAAAAATATTTTGCAGAGACTACAAATGCTTTTTTGTCAAACATAAACAGTTCCCCCATAGGTTATAAGGGCCACATTTATGGTGGGGAGTGTGGGGGGAATACACCAACTGCCCTGCTAACAAGCATATAAAAAAAAAGCAACTAAGTAGGGATTAGCTGAAATTGGATGTGTTGAGTCAAAAGGCGCAGATATCACAGCTTAACTGTAAACTACAACACAGCATGTCAGCCATCCCTTTAAAGGGGAAGATGGAAGAAGAAAATGAAAACCAAAATGACCAGTGGACATTAAAACAACTTACTTAACTCTTTGAGTCCCAGGCCCAAGGGGTAGTCAAGAAAGACGTAAAATCGGCGCATCTTGCGTTCATTGGGCTTCTAGGTAGGAATCTATGAACGTATGATGCGTTCCTTGGGACTCAAAGAGTTAAGTGTGTACAAAAGACAGAGACAATCAGTACCTAATAGGATACAAGGCAAGCACTGAAAAACCTCAAAATTTCACTTCACTGTTATTAGTTGCAGTTTCCAGTATTGTCCCATTACATGTTTTAAGGTTCTGTCGCCCAGTACTGAGTTGAGTGATTGGTACAGCACTGTGAGCTGTGGATTTCATGTGGAATGTTTTTTAATGTAGTGCTTGCGATGACTCTGTCTTGTAAACTGCACTTAAAATGGCTGGTGGCTGATTATGTTCAGAATGGCATGTACTTATGTAGTATGGGGTGTATTATGCCATCTTTCATAACTGACTGCTTGCAACAATGGTGAGGTGGAACTGTTAAAGTTGGCATATCTTATCTGACAGCTGCCTTATGCATTTACTTTGCTTGTGCCAGCTTCAGGATTTAGCGGGGACTGACATTCTTCTTCTTTCATTCACTGCAGTATGAACTTCACTGTCTGTTGTAATTCACTCAGTGCCCCATAAAGTTTGGCTTGCCCGATGTTTCTCTTGGCAAAAAAGTTTTGCATTGATATGTTGTATTTGGGATAGTCTTGGAGGACGTGATCTGTTGTCTCAGGTGCCAATCCACATGTACACATGGCTGATTTGCCAATCTTAATTTTGTACACATCTGGCTGTGAAGTTGATTGTGTCCTGTTCTGAGGCGTAGAATAATGACTTGCTCTGGTCTGTCCATAATATGGTAATCGTCTTAAGCCAGTTTTGCTGGGACTAACAAGTTTTTTACTAGTTTACAATTAGGGCAGTGAAGGAAATTTGGTGCTTTATTACTTTCCTACGCCAGATGACATCACAGGACAGTCCAACATTTTAGAGAGTGGTTAGACTGGGTTTTCTGGCTTTCTGATGCTTTTAACGACCCCAAAACTTCTAGAACTGGCCCTAACCCCAACCCACTTACATCCCACCAGAGAGTGCAGCCTAGGTCCCATGACTGCATGCAGCCTAGGTCCCACGACTGCATGCAACCTATCTGCCACCCCCTGAAATATTAGACTGTCCCGTGACCTGTGGATTTCCCCTGTTTGGGGTAGGATATTAATAAAGCACCGGAAATTTTGTTTAATTTCCACTGGCACAGTAATAGAGCAGTTATGAGGCAACGTGTCTGCAGTGAAGCTGGAACCTTGACTACATGTTTTAATTTGGTCATTACATTTTCTAAGCTTTCTGCAGTTCAGCCTACTTCATTCTTTTTTCTCCCATGCTTACCAGCTGAAACTTTGGCTGAAAATCCTGATTGTTTGTCCATTTCTGTACTTTGTCTTGTTAGAAAACAAGAGTTTTGCGTGCACATCAGTATTTCAGATATGGCTTATTTGTGTAGAGACTGTTGGTTTCTTGCATTGAGGGAAACTTCAATCTGGTATCTTTACCAGGCCTTGATTTGAGAACATCTCTAAGATGACTGCGGAGAACCTACTTTACTCATTTATTAGTCATTTGACCATGCTTTATAATTTATTGTTGCCCACCTTTGACAGCATTACATTTCTTTGCATGTTGTTACAAATCCCTCATCATTTTTCAGCACGTCCCTTACAGAACGTTATTTCCCTGTGTGGGTTCTGGGGCCCTATTGCTGGGAAAACAAGAATAGACCCACTGCCTGCCCAAAAGCTGTCGTAAGAGTCGACTAATTGGGAGCTTCCTTCCAATTCGTAGTACACCTGCCTGAGAGGCAGGAAACCAACAGTCTGCATGCAAAAGTCAGACCTCCAGTTCTTCAGATCTGTGTGCTTTCATAGCCAATGCATCTTCAGCCTCTTATATCCACCTTTGCAAAGGCCAGTCTTTGCCTCGTTTTCCAGAAACTACCCTCCAGTACTGTTCTCTCCAGGCCGCCATGACATCTAACATTGCCAAAATACCTCAGCTTATGAAACGTAATGCTGTTTATGAGCCAATTCTCCTCTATGCTCAGATCATGCAGGGTCTCAATGTTTTTCTTCTTCTGGATCCATTGTATTCTAAGAATTTTTCTGTAACATTTTAGTTCAAAAGCTCAGGTTTGCTTAGGACTATCCTCAATTCCAAAACGTGTCATGCGCCTCACTTAAATTGAACAAAGTATTCAGTGATTTTAGATTACTCATTTTTAACCATTAGACAACTTTTTTAAAATAAAAATTTTTCTTTCGAGCATCGGCTTTTTTTCTTTACATGTTTATTCTAAAAAATTATACAAATTACATTTCTTGTAAGTTATTGATTTTTTTATTATCTCTTTCATATTCACATGAATTTTTCTTTGTTTGTACCAGCTATTCCAGGTCACGTTCCGGATCATGGAGCAAACGAAGCAATCGTGCCTCTAGTTTATCTCCTGGCAAACGCCGCAGTCGGTCTGTGACTGCTCGGAGGTTTACCTCACGATCTCGCTCTATAAGTCGTCAGCGATCTCAGAACAGATCCAGGTCAAAGTCACCCTTGCGGTCCCAGAACCGGTCACGGTCCAGATCAGGTCCAAGAGCAGCTAACAGGTCACGGTCCAGGTCAGGCCCAAGAGCTGTCAATAGGTCACGATCCAGATCAGGCCCTCGAGCTGTCAAAAGGTCTCGATCCAGATCAGGCCCACGAGCCGACAAGAGGTCACGATCCAGATCAGGTCCTAGACCAGTCAACAGGTCACGATCCAGGTCAGGCCCACGAGCTGACAAGAGGTCACGATCCAGATCAGGCCCACGAGCTGACAAGAGGTCACGATCCAGATCAGGCCCACGAGCTGTCAAAAGGTCACGATCCAGATCCGGTCCTAGACCAGTCAATAGGTCACGATCCAGATCCGGTCCTAGACCAGTCAATAGGTCACGATCCAGATCAGGTCCAAGAGCAACAAACAGGTCACGTTCTAGATCAGGTCCCAGAGTCACAAAAAGATCGCGCTCTAGGTCACGTCCAAAGAGGTCACGTTCCAGATCTGGTCCAAGACCAGTAAATAGGTCACGCTCTAGATCTGGCGCCAGGTCCACAGTTAAGTCACGCTCTAGATCTTTTGAGTCTTCAAGATTGCCTCGACTTCCACCACAAACCCAATCTTTAACCAGAATATCAAAATCAAGATCCCGATCTGCCCCCAGGAACATAAAGGCCTTGTCCCCAAAACCCCGGCCTTCTCTTTCACCACTTCGAAGGTCACCAAAGTTACCACTTCCACCACTGCGTTCCCGCTCTCGGTCATTTGGCCGGTCACCAAGATCTAGGTCCAAGTCATGGAGCAAAAGAGCCAGATCCAGATCTTACTCCAGACCCAGGTCTCCTCGATCCTTGTACAAGTCACCAAGGAGATCACCCCGGTGGTCACCATATCGATCTCCACCTCGAAAACGCTCTTTCTCTCCCAGAAGACGATCCCGTTCATTGAGTCCACGCAAAAAGTCATTTCGGTCCAGGACAAGATCACCATTCTATAAAGGGAGGTTTTCCAAATCCAGAAGCAGATCTATCACCAGAAAGCGATCTTTTTCACCCAAGCTATCACCACGCCGCTCCAAGAGTCCCTACAGGATGCCCCTGTCCCCAGCACCATTGAAAAGACAATCACCACCACCATTTAGAGGGCGAGGTGGCTACAGAGGCAGAGGCAGAGGAGGATTTGGGTTCAGAGATAACAAATTTCGAAACAACCGAAGTCCACCGAGGATTCCAATTGCAACAGGACCTAACATCCCATTCTCAGCCGACAATCTGCCTCCGGTACCTTACTTTCCACAGATGGGGCTGCCACCACCCGAAGAATACTTCAAATACAATCCTGATGGGTATCAAGAGTTTGTCAGAGGCTTTTATGCTCAGTTTGGCCCCCAGGCACAGGCTTGGGCTCAGAGTCAGAGCTTTCCATTACCTACAGCTGACAGATTTCTGCCAAACAGCTCAGTCCCTAATGCTGCAGTATCTTCTCACCCGAGGCCAGCATGGGAACCTGTCCCAATGTCACCTTCTCAGAGGCCACGTTCTCTCACCCCACCTGGTGGAGGACAGCCTCGGGACAGGAGAGATCAAGTTGTTAATAAAGACAGAGACGTGCATAGTACCAGACACTGGGAAAAGGACAGAGAGCGAGAGAAGCCAGATCAAGAGAGAGAGAGGGTTAGGGACAGACGATTTGAAAGGGGAAGGGGTAATGATCGGTATCGAAACAGAAATGCAGACAGAGATCGTGGCAGAGATGAGGACAGATACAGGGGCAGAGATAGTCAAAGAGAAAGGGATTTTCAAAGAGAAACTGAGCATTCTAGAAATAATGAGAGATCCTCGGAGAGGAGGAGAAGTCCCCCTAGGAAGTCAAAGGAAGAGGATAAATCTAAGGATAAAGGAAGAAAGAAATCTGAGAAGAATAAGGAAGAAAAGGAGGTTAAGAAAGTCAGAAAAGTTGAGGTGAGGCCAAAGAAGGAAAATGCAGATGTGAAAGATAGCATCTTGTCAAAAACCAGTCCAGTCAGTGATAAAGATTTGGAATCGCCAAAAACAGAGGAAAAACCATCGCAAGACTCACTACAGACGCAGAAGGAGCAGGCAGAAATACCACAGAACAATAACAATGTGGTGAATAAAAGTGAAGCAGAATCCAAACCTGCACCTGAGGCTAATGTGAAAGTCAGTAAACCAGCTGCAAAAGAAAAGAAAACTGTCAAGAAGAAGGGTGATGGTGTGGGCGGTAAAAAGAAAATAAAGGAGGCTTCTACAGAGGAAGGCGGTGAAAAGAAGGTAAAGAAAACCAAGAAGAAAAAACTGACTTTTGGAGCTTCCGATGTAGATACCAAACAAGGCCTCAAGAAAAAGAAGCTGAAACGACTGGTAGATTACAAGTCGGAGAACTGCACTTCGGAAGATGGGGAAGAGAAAGCATCACTTGGTGGTAGCCCACTGAAAAAGGTTAAACTTGCTGACGTTAGTGAGGTGAAAGAGGAAGCAGAGGAAGCTGTCAATCAAGAAAAAGGGGATGATTCTCATATATCAATATCTGAACCCACCTGTGAAGTCAGCACAGAAATCCACCCTGCACAGGCAGCAGCAGGAGGTGCCACCATTGAACATGAAATAAAAGCAGCTGCACCTGAACCTACTGTTAAAGCTACAGAAGAAAGTGTGCCAGATAAGCTCATCCCTGAGCTTCCAGAGCTGTCCAAGTGGGAGAGAGAGGACTTTGATTACTTTGATTCGGTGGAGCATGTCAAGGAAAAGCCTCAGGAGAAAGTCATGTTACCAAGGTAAGTCATTGTTATTGATGTCATTTTAACACTTACCTAACACTTACTACATTTTCCTCAGCAGTTTTTTCGTTACTAGTCGTCCCCTTGTGGGATGCAATTTCATGTTATCTTGAGGCCCCACCTTGGCTTTTACCAGGGGCCCCAAATATAGCCTGGCCATTAATATGGCTGAAGGAGGTTTCCAGGAACCCCTTCACGGGTTATCCTCATCCGCATGGTGGCACTTTGTGTCACCGGGTGTTTATCGCTGTATGTGATGTACTATTGTGGTAAAATGTACTTACTTGTTCATCTTCAGAAGACGGAAGAATTAAAAAAGAAATCCAACACAGATGCAATAAAGCCAGTCAAGTTTAAGGCCAAATGGCACCAATGTTGAAATGCAAGCAGGTGAATTTGAACACTAAAAGAACACTGTTCAACACAGTATTTTTACTAACGCTATGCTATCAATGTCAGACATGGACACTGTCTTCAGAAGACAGAAGGAAAATAGTCACAACAGAAATGAAATGCTATCTACTATGCTAGGTGTAACGAGGAAAGATCAACAAAGAAGTGATGATATCAGGAAGAGTGTATGTACAGAACTAAAGCTGTACTTTATAGGTAGACAACAAATCAAATGGTTTGGCCATGTACCAAGATTGGCTTCAGGCAGGGCACCGCAGAGAACAAAGTTATACAGATACAGCGGTAACAGAGCTAGAGGTTGACCACGCAGAATATAAACTGCAGAAATATCAGAAATACTGAAAAGTACTTTAAATTTAGCGAACATAAGGGCCCGTTCGAGATATTTCTTCTTGCCCTCATACCCTGAGGCATTCCAGGAGGAGAGAAAAGAAGAAGAATCTTGAAAAGGGTTCTGTGGAACACATTTTATTTTATTTTTTTAAAGACCGCATTGACCTTAAAAGCCATTGTTCTTTCACAGAAAAATTCTAGCTGTTATATCACAGATTCCCATGTTTATTTGGCATAAGAGCTCCCTTTTTTTATTAGTAATAGTACTTACTTACTTAGTCACTCCTCTTCTACCTCGGGGTTTAGAGGTTTGCCAGAGAGATGGCCAGACTTCTCTGTCTGCAGTTTTCTTTTTGGCTTTGTTCTATTCCAATCTTATGTCAGTTAGGGACTGGCGGATGTTGTTTTCCCAGCGGACCCTGGGTTGCCCTGGTGGTTTGCTCCTCTGGTTCTTGCAACGATGGCCGATTTTCTCCCATTCTGAATAATAATAATATAGTAAGACTTAACTAAATACCACCTCACCCAATTATGTTATGGAACAAATCGAAAGATGTGGTGATAAATATGCAGAGGCGGCGTCCGTGGCTAAGCGTTGTGAGTCCAACTCGTAATCCAACGTACCGCGATCGAAACCCACTGCGGGCTGCGTAGCTTTTTATCGTGGTATGGGACGTCGCAGGTCGACCCAGCCTCAAATGGGTACCAGGATGGGCTGTCCTGGGAAAGTAAAGACAGCCGGCGTAATGCTGACCACATTACCCACCGAGTGCTGATGGTCTGTAAAAATATGGGCGCTCTTCCCATATGCCCGATACGCCTAAAGGCGTGAAAGGGATCTTTACTTTTTACTTACTTTACAGTATTTAATTACCATGAGTTTAACTTAACAAATTAAACACAGGCACACAGTCATGTGGTGGGTGTTGACATTTTTCCTGTCTTTCTCTAAACTGTTTTTCCCCGGTCTACCACTACCCCATCTCATTCGGTGCTTGCCCCCTCCACTCCCCTTCACCCTTGCATCTGTAGCTACTGTTGACCTCTGGACTATTCTGTGCCTCATAATGGTTGATACCCATTTTGGGAAACTGATTAACATGGTTTTATTCTCTTTTGTGATATATTATGGATGTCTTCAATATATTTATTTAGTAATGATGATCTGTTGATCTTTCAGATCTGTGGTCGACAAGGCAGAGAAGTTTTTGACCCACAAGCCTATGAGAAATGCTGTGATTGCCACCCACGTGACCACCTCCAGCAGGTCGCCGGAGACGGCAGCAGAAAAACAGGCAGCGGAGCACCGCCCTTCATCCCCACAATCAAAATCATCACGCCGAGTGTTCATTGATCACAGACGAGATAGCAGAGACAAAAAGCAAGACCTGCATATCACTGTTAAAACTGACAAACGCAAGGAGTTCACAGACAAACGAGGACCCACGGCTTCTAAAGGTGAAGATCATCCCCGCTATCATCACCACCATGAGAGGGATGACTACGGAGAAGATCAACGTTCTGTGGTCAAATCCTGCTCTCTCGAACGAGAACTGCACGATAGCAAAACTTTGTCAAGAGTTTCTAAAGATAAAGAAGGAAATTCTAGGAGAGAGAGACCATCGCATGACAGCAGTCAAAAACAAGATTCCTCAAGGAGGGATAATAAGTATGAGACATTAAAAGATAGGCGCAGAGACAAATCACCAGATCCTAGAGAAAGAAAACACGACAGAGAAAACAGTGCTGCAAGCCACCCAGATACATCAAAGTCTTCAAAAGATTTGCGACATAAGCTGGATGAGAAGAGCAAGACAAAGTCTGCAGTTGATCATCGCAAGCTGTCTGTCATGGATGAATCCGAGTTTGTACCGGATTACGAAGATCTTGCTCCTGAAGGCAACAATGACAATGAGCGTGACGATGCCACGGCTTCTCAGAACTCTGAAGCCTCGTCACCTGAACAGAAAGACAAGAAAAAGAATAGAGACAATGAAGACAATGAGAAAGAAGGTGAAAGCAAACCTGATTCAGATGATCCTGGCAAAAAGAAGTCCAAGAAGAAACACAAGCATAAGGAAAAGAAAGAAAAACATAAGCATAAGAAGAAGAAGCACAAACATAAGAAAGACAAGGAAGGTAAACAGAAGACAAAGCCTGGGGAGAACTCACCATAGTGTAATATTTATGCAGATGTGTTGGAAGGAAGATGTTGATAGTTTATAATTGATGTTTCTTGGGTTACTTGTACAGTTAAGTCTTATCTTTATGTGTATTTTCTCGACACTGCGTAAGCAATCATCGTGCAGAAGTACGTCGTAAACTTATTAGAACAATTAGACGTGGATAGTTGGTATTCTTTTGGACTTGACTCGAAAACTTGGTAACAACTGAAAAGATGGATGGAAGCAAGAGGAAGGCAAAGAGATGAATACTTTGGATGGCTTGGCCACATGAATAGAACGAGACAAGAACATTGATCCGTGATTGTGTGGGATGCCAAAATATGACGGCCTACGCTGACCGGCTTGGCATATGATAGTGATCTTGTGGTGATAGCATGTTGGTGAATATGTCACTGAGAAGACATGTTCAGCTCAGACATTACTTGTATCATTTGTACATTGACAGTACTCTTAGTTTGTGAAATTGTAAAAGTGATATTTTTTTTAAACACTAGACAAATGGAATAATTGAGTCAGCATATCATAAGAGTTTACATTGATATATGTGGCAGTGACAGATAAACTAGCAGTGGATTAAGCAGGGCTTGTCTTTAAAATGGATTTGCAGTAAAACTGCCATAAAACGGCTTGCAGTGAAACTGTGGGTTTGCTGTAAATCATGGCTTGTAGTTAAGTTTGGTTCTGTCATAAAACTAGGCTTGTGGTAAAACCCTGATTTTGAAACTTGGACTGTAGTGAAAGTGTCACACTAAAAGCGAGCCGGTTGTAACATGTAATTCTGATGGCATCATATTACATAGAGCTAGTTTTAATATACGGCTGTGAATCCTGGATAATAGTTCCCAAGGGGAAACAAATTTTGAGGCTTGAGAGAATATGGTTCTGTGGAAGAATGCTGAAAATTCCCTGAGCAGCCAAACTAAATAATCTGGCAGATGTTTAGACACACAGACATTTGATTACAAACGCTGGAAAGATGTAGTCATAATTTGTGACCACATAAAAAGAGAAATCTTGAACATGATAGAAAAAGACAGGAAAATCATGAGAGAAGAATCCTTTAGGCATGGTATTTGTTAAAGACCAAACAGCAGTCTGTGGGTGATGTAGTCAGCATCATGCAAGCCATTTTTACTTTCCTGGTATCCATTTTAGGCAGAACAGAATTAACTTGGGATCGCAGGTCAGTTTTAAAAATCAGCATCAGTGCAGATTTGAACCAAAAACATTTAGGCAACATTTAGGCTGGCAGACAGGCAGCTAGTCCCTATTCTTCTGCTGCTGTCTATATATTTTTTTTTTCAGTCAAGAAATGATGTCTGAAATGTTGTTAGATTGCCAAACACATGTTAATGTGTTTATATTGAATATTTCTAATCAAGTTTTTCCACCAGTGATTCCATGTACATCAACTTGTCATTGGCACTGTGCCAGAGTAACCTAAGCGTTAAATCTTTATTTAACACACACCCCCTCTCCCCCCCCTTCTCCTCCCCACCAAAAAAAAATTCTCATTTCAACATTTGAGATCTCAGTGGAAATTGTGTAGTTGCTTGAGATGTCATACTTCATTTTTACCTAATTGGAGTAGGAATTTACACAAATAACCAACCCTCAAAATATGCACTTAGGTAACAATCCTTCACATTCCACTTAAGTGACTTTGGCATATTGTGAACGATATGTGGCTTATTCTGTATCAGCTCATCTCGTCTAATGACCACGAACACACTTGTTTGTTCTCAGCTTTGGGAGGAATCACCCAGGTTCACACTTTTGGTGCCCAAGATTTTATAAACAGCATTGTGTCTCAGAAACTGACTGACTTCAGCCATACTAATCATTGGAGTGGTTTAGAAAAAACAGTAACGGAAGACATTTTCTTGGAAAACGCAGCTGGGGTTGAAACAGGATACTGGAGACACTTTGAGTGTAAAAATATTTGGCTCAGAAGAACTAGTGGCCAACATTACATTAGCAGTTTCTGGAAGGTGACAAGATGTGTTCATGTCCACGCGTGTGACAATTTTAAAGCTGTCGCTTGGAAACAGGAATGGTGGCACATTCAAAAGGTTTGCAGTAGAACAAGCTGCTGTTTGTTGCTGTGTTCCTTGCTGTGTGATCCTGGCATGCCAACAGTATTGAATTTGCTAATTACAGGACATGTGATTTCTTCAGGTGTGTGCTCATGGTTTCACTGTCAATCTATATGCATATGAATGAGAAGAGGAGACAATAAGTACTAGTCTGTGTCACTAAGTTTAAAAAAAAAAGTAAGCAAAGGACCCCTTTCCACGCTATTAGGCATATAGGGCATTTCGGGCTAGACCTATATTTTCTAGACCAATCGGCACAAGATGGTTGATGTGGTCATCACCCCGGCCACCTTTACGTTCCGGGTCAACCTGGGAGCTTGGGTCATTTTTGAAAAAAAAAAAAAAAAAAGTCTGGCTTTGTCAGGGAGCGAACCTACGACCTTCCGATCCACAGGGAGCATCTAGCCCCTCCACCATGCTGACTCCAGTGTCACTATGTAGTTTGCTCAAAAATTATCATCCCACATCATCACACCGCTTTGAATATCCCCGTTTGTGCTCTGTATGCTTCAAAACACGCTGAAACACCGTAAATTGCAGCGTACTAGTCGACCTATTGTATAAGTCTGACTCAAGATTTCAAACTCAGAGAAGATGGGGAGGAAGACTGAGGAGAGCTTTAACACACCCAGCGTGAGAATGGAAGTTGAGGTGGTAATTGCTGGGTGGAGAAATCTTAGCCACATGTTGTCATAGTATCAGATTCACAGAGCCTGCTCAGGAGGGTGGAGTCAGGTTTTCTTCGAATGGAATCTAGAGGTCGCAGGTGGTGAAAGTTGCATGGGTGTTTCACTCAGGATATTCAGATGTGTTTGGGAATGGACAGGCAGATAGGTTGGCTGGACTGGCCCCAGTTAGGGGTGTACTGCAACTACGCAAGGCAGAGGTTATTTCTCACCTGTGGGGTGAGGTAACCAGGAAAATGGAAGATACTGAAAACCTGCACCTGGAAAGAATGCAATGAGGAGTGTCAGTGGGTGCCACTGGAGACTTGGGGAAGGCAAGATGAGTAGTTCACTAGATAAAAACGGGTACCATCAGTCATCAGTACAAAGACTCATTGCTGGCTGTTGAGGAGGAAGACGGAGCTAATATGGACTTATGCTGAATGATGGTTGCAGGCCTCTGCTACATCCTGTTCCTTGATTATTCCTCCTGCTAGTGCTCCATTTTTTTCCAGTGATAGATGCATGTAGTCACTGAATTGAATTTCTTGAAGTAGCTCACGTGAAAAATTGGTTAAAAGTACTGAAGATATAACAGTTCTATACATGTCTCTTAAAATGTGTTTCTAATAGTTCATTGTTCCTCACATTTCTTTCATCATTTGCAAATTATAAACTGTTGATATGTCTTTTTGTATATACAGCAGAGTTTTACTATAAATTCCTGAGGGTTTCTTGAATGTTCACCATAAAAGTATTTCCCTTCAGGACTTCATTTTTCATTCCTTTAATGGATGCAGGGTTTAAGAGGTTTTCTTGGCAGGGTTTAAGAGGTTTTCTTGTGTGTGGAGTTTTTTGGGCAGGATGTTGTGGATTTTTAAAGATGATAATTTGGTTGACAGTTCACCTTTTGCAAGCATTAGAGTAGTGGAAACACAGAAGTGTGAAACATAGAAGTGTATATCTGAGAAATATGGATGTTGAATTAAGCAGACATTAGATTACTGAAAATATTTAGCTTGTGTATATTTGAGAAAATGGGTGGTGAATATAGTAGATTAATGGAAACATTTATTTACTATATAAATGAAAAAATAGTGAATATAGTATATAGACTTAAAAGACAAATGAGCATGTTGGTGTGAACATTTTTAACTAGGTTTGTTCAGGTTAGTATGTTTGTTTTGTTAGTTGATATATGTTGAAAACTTTGCCTTGTGTCATGTTGTGAAATTGGTTTTTGTGTGACTTCTGGTGGTTCCTGCCACATACTTCTACATGATGATGATGTTAATGAAATTTTACTGTAAATAATGCGAACTGCCTACTGTGTGAAATAACAATTTGTTGGCATCTTGTTGCAAAAAAAAAAAAAATTATTAAAAAATAATGAGAATAAACATTTCAAATCTATTATTTGGCAATGTTATTACTAATGTGTATTTGTGAAAATGCCGTTTCCTTCATGTTAGTTTGGGGGGGGGGGGGGTGTATAGATCCATTGCTTCCCAACAAACATGCCATAATTTTAAAAAGTGCATAATACAAATTAGATGTTGGACCGAAAGATGCAGATATTGCAGCCTTACTGTAAACCACAATTTGGTATGCTAGCTGCAGTATTAACCCATTTGCCCCATAAAAACTCATTAAGAAAACCAGTCCCGGTTGAAGTAGTACTTTGTTTAACAATGGTGGAGAAAAGTTGCCACACCAACTGTGCTCTTAAAGACGCAGGTCCTGGCTGTGGTGTGTGATGCATGGCTTTCACTGATCCCTTCAACTTAATTTCCATTGGAATGCCGATCGACCAAACCTGGGATCTCTCTACCTCATGTAGAAAGCATGTCTGTAGCACATGTTCAGTATTCTGTGGTGCCCATCCACATGGACAAAGTTCTAAATCCCCAATCTTAATTTCTTCTACATAAGGCTGCAGTCTGTTGTGTCCATTACACTATTATTACCTAGAAGTAAAAGCTCAATCTGATAGTCTGATCAATTTCCCCTCGTCTCATAACATGGCCACAAAATGATGACTGTCTCCTTCTGATGTCTGTGATTAGTTGTCTTCGGGCTCCCGCCTCTTTCAAAACCTCTTGGTTGCTTTTTTTGGGCTGTCCAAGGTATTTTGAGCATTCTTTTATAAAACCACATATCTGAGGCCTCAAGAAATTGTTTGGCCTGCCTACGGATTGTCCGGGACTCCAGCCATATGTTAAAACTGGAT